TACACCCTTGATGCCTTAAGTTGTAGCTTTCACATTTTCCAGATTCTGCACTGCATTTATATAACTCTGAACTTCATATAAAGTGTTAGCAAGTTCTCTTCACAGTTTGGTTTGTCAAAACAATCCTTTTCCAGCCCGAGAACCAAGGACACCATTGCAGTTTCAGGCCCAAAAAGAATAAACAGTGAATTGAGGAGAGGAATCTGGAAGGATGGGACTTCATAACCTGAAGCTGTAATTGGACAATTAACCCAAATATATAGATGGACCAAAACTTATAAAAGTGTGAAAATGTGTGACCATCGTCCATCCTGGGTGTAGCCTCGGCCAGGCTCTTGTACTGCCCAAGGTGTAGCCTTTGAGGGTCTTTTTAATAAATACCCACTTTATTCCTTTTATACTGTCTAGTCTCTGTTCTAGATAGCCTCTCAAGGCATCACCCTGTGAAACAGGATCTGACTTGTGTAACTGCCCTACACAAGGAGTAGCATTTTGAATGAACAGGCATCATGAATTTTTTTGCACTTCAGGCTAATCTGAGATGCTGAATTTAAATGCTGTTGCTTTGGCCTCTTCTTACAATTAACAATAACAAGCAGTTGGTTGTTAGTTATTTCAGTGATCTTTCACCTTAACATGGGCTTCACTTCAGAGCTGAATCTCCAGGGTAGCCAACATCCAGCCATTAACTTTTGAATTGCCACTCCAAAGAGCAGCTATCAATTGACATTTGTATTAACTGTATTTTAGGATACAAGTACTGAGTAAAGTCTTCAGAGCCTGAATATATCCTTGCCTTACTTACGTATCCTGTTTTTGAGGTATCCAGACAAAATCTTTTAAACAAAAGACTTGCCTTACTTACGTATCCTGTTTTTGAGGTATCCAGACAAAATCTTTTAAACAAAAGACTTTTCACTGAAAAATCATTCTTCTGTTATTTAAAGTTGACATACCTGAGCAATTATGGTTGGACAATATAGAAGAACATAAGTCTCTCTTCTCTTGAACTTGAGCTCTTGAACTTGAGCTCTCATTTCACTTAAGCTAACACGTGCAAAGCAGATCACTGCTTTCAGTGGTACATATAAAATGCTGCAATAAACTGATTGTGACTCCTCTGAATTCTTTCCTCAATTTAAAACAGGGGTATGTGAGTCCCTTTGGAGGTTTGCATTACTTCTTTGTGTAAGAGAGTACCTGTATGCTAATATTGGTCATGAAAATGCTGGCTGTCCCTGAAAACTGTCCACTCTCTCATTCACGTGAAACAAAAAATAACCAAAAAAACCAAGCTTTTTTGGTCTGTCTGGCTAAAGATCTCTGAACCAGGGAAGCTAAGCAAGCTAAATTCTCCCCTTGTGAGTCAATGAACTGCTGCCAATTGCAATGGTGCTTTTGTCTGTGGCCATCTGCTCATCATGAAAGGGAAAAGGCTCCTAAATGAGCACTGACCATTTCACAGATGTTGGGTGGAGTTTTCAAAGCCATAATGGGAACCGGGCATCCAAATTCCCTACAGGTTAGCGAGATCTGATTTAAAGAGTTTCTTAGTCAGCTTTGAAAACAGCTGTAATGTTTAAAAATATCCAGCCCCATCTGACTTCGATCAGAGGCCTAGAAGATACTATCAGTTAGATTGACTTGTGCTCACCAGACAGGCTGTAGAGTGCTTGTGTAAGAGGCAGGAAAGATAAACTCCTGAGGCATTCCCTCTCATGCCATGATAGCAGAATATTTGAGGAATAACAACCGGAAGGAAAAGGAGGTCTCCTTAAAACAAGAAAATAGCAGCTTTTGTAATGATCCAAAATCTGCTGTGAAACAGGCATTCTCCACACCCAGTCATACACCAGCCCCTCAAAGAGTGAGTAGATTTGTCAGGAATCCTGATGCAAAACTGTCTTAATTGTCCTTGAGGGCACATGAGCTCTCAGCTGAAGTCCACTGAGTTTTATCCAGTGCTGGAATCACAGGGTCTTCCCTGGGCAGCTGGAAAACTAGGAGAGGGAGCAAACATCAACCTGACCAAAGGCCATGCGAGAGGATTCACATCTGCAGGGGCAGGAAGTAGCAACCCTTCAGCTTTGGGCCAGATCAAGCACATATAAAACCAGAAAAAATAGAAAAAGTTGAAATCCTATTACACTTCCAATTAACCATATTGTCTACACCTGAAACACATAAAATGCCATCCAGGCCGGTGTCTGTGTTTCAAAGTCCAAATGAGAACCACGTGGAGGATCTCTGGGTTTGTTTGTTGTTTTTTAGCCTCACATAGGGAGGAGCAGCTGTCCATAAATATCTAATTACTACTATATAAGCCACTGCTATAGAGTGTAGCTTGAGCAAGTTAGAGAGGATGTGAATATGTAATATTTTTTTGACTCATTGTTGTAATACTCATTGACTATAATGCTTCTATGGGGAAACACTGAGTCCTTAATTTTAGCCAAGGGAATTATGTGATATGGGTAATAGCAGGATGACAAATCTGATGTTCCAGCTCTATGTGTCAAGTACTTACAAAAACAATCAATGTTCCAGCATTGCCATTTAGTCAGTTGCTTTTTTTTCCAACTATGCATGGTAAAATATTTTTAATGCTCTGCATTTTTTCTCTGTTGCCTAGTATGTCCTGTGTGAAAGAATCACACAAAATGCTGTAGGTTAGTATTCAGGTATTAAAAGCAGCATATACAGAAAGGTTCTGATGACTTGTCTTTCAAAAAGTTCAGATTAAATTATTTAAATGGCATTAACTTGAGTTTCCTGTGTGTATGCTCTTTTTAAAGAATGCTTTGCTTTTAAAAAAATATAGCTATTTCCAGTAGGGGGGAGGAAAGCATGGTTATAGTTGTGCTTCTGTGCATTGCTTCAGCACCAGATCACTGCAGGTTTTGGTATTTCAGTTTAAAGTGCAATGACCTAAATAGTCTGGGAATGTATTTTTCTTACTAGGTATTATATGTGGGAGCAGACTTGGCCTCTCAGTATCAAGAAGGCTAAAGTTTCCTGACCTCTGTCAGTCAGTCCACATGTGTGCTTTTCTAATTAAATCTCTGTTGGATTTGACCAGGCAATTTCTAACAGTATGGTTCTCCATAAGAAAGAGGAGTAAAGTCAGGAAGGTGATGGGACTCACAGCCAAAAAGACTGAATCACTTGTCCTGATGCAAAAGTTGTATCAGAATTCAAAGATGTTTGAGCTTAAGGATATGGGATGGAAGACTTGGGAAGATGAGGAAATGTGGAATTACAGGAACACAAGAGATCATGAGACTGCATTTGTCTGCATCAAACATTCCTTGACAGAAGCAAGTTCAAAGAAGCATTGAGATTGAGCAGGACTAGCATAGGAGAAGAGGGTGCAGAGAACTGGGATATATTCATGTTTTTTTAAAGTAGGAAACCAACACTGGGCTTTGGAAGAGGCTTCTAGGAAACCTGGAGAGAGACAGAACAGCCTAAAGAGCTGTGTCCACTGTAACAGGGCATGTGTGGGGCAATCAGTCCTGAAGTAAAGATGTTTTACAAAAAAATCCTTACTTCAAGAGTCCATTTTACCAAATTGGCACTCAAGCTGGATATCTCAGGAGGGGGTGGCTGAAAATCCCAGTTAGACCTGCCTATCTACCAGTCCTTCTGGATGGCCAAGACTGTAATTAGGAGCCTACAAGGCTGTTTCTGCATTCCTAGCTCAAAATTAAAACCTTTTCTTAAATTCCAGAGACATCTCTGGGCTCAAGGTGGAGCTGAATACTGAGTGGAAAAAGATTATATATTTGGCTTTCATTAACATGAGTCAATACTGTCCTCTGTTTACTGTCTCTGTCCTCAGTTCTATGGGCAGCAGAATAATACTGGAGTTGCTGTCACCAACAATTAGCTCTCAAATAAGGCAAAAATAAACCCAGTCTTGTGCAAGGAATCAGAGCTGCTGTATCTATATTTACTGCAAAGAAAGTATCCTCTGTTGAGATACATGTTTAAGATCTGGGCTTTTTAAAAAGCTCTTAAATAGTTTGTGGTTTGGCTGGTTTTTTTCCTTTACCAGTTAGCTAGTTTAGGTATAGCTAATGATGGAAATCAGAGACTGAGTCCTCCATCTTTACTCTTATATTCAGCCAGTTAATTAGCTTCTTGATTCTTCCAGTCTTTTTATTGTTTATTGAACAGGATGTAAGTATAAGAATTAGGAATGTTACACAGCTTCTCTTCTGTCTTGGTAAAACCTTTGGAAACCTGAATACATGGCAGACAGCAGTAACAGCTCATGTGCTGTCAAAGGGCTCAAGCAGCAAACAAAATCTTATGAGTTGTTTTCTAAATAATTTCAGCACTGCACAAGAAATGTGTCCTACTGGGCAACCTGGATTTTACTTTTTTGTGAAGTCTCATGGACACGTGTGTGATATACATCTGTGAAGGTTATCTGTTGCCAAATGATCCCAGCAATAAATTAACAACCTAATCCAAAATACCTTCAGAGCCATTAGAGGTATTCTGTGATTTTCCTTATGATTCCAAAACTATTGTGTATCTCGCCTTCTTCTTTAAAAAGATAGATGTTCCAAGAATGGTATGATCTAAGCTTTAATTAACATATTATTTGCATTATCTCTTCTGCGTACTCTACCTCATCCAAATAGTCTTATACATAATTTCACAGGGGATCATGAATATAGCATGTGTGTGACATGTGAACACACTCAATGCATACTCTTGATTCCCTTCTTAAATTGTCCCTCCTTCCCATTTAAAATTCTTTTGTTTTCTCCAGAATGCCAAACCAGGCTCTCTCCTATCAGCAGCTTGTGATGGGATGAGTAATGAAAAAGGACAAGACAGAGATTTAACAAATCTGAGCCTCATCAATGAGGGCCTTCTGAGTGTTTAAATATATGTGTCCTTTTCTGGCTGGTGGTACTAAAATATGCTGGCATTTGTGTAGTTGCAAGAAAAAAAACCAAAACAAGTCTATTTGTTTTGGTTACGCAGTTTTTATTGATATTTTATTTTTGTTTCAAATTACATTTTCTTTTGACTTTAAACAATAACTATAGTGATTATTTTGTGCCAAATTAATACAACTTTCTTGAAAATTACTCTATTGAAAGATCTACTTTACTTATTGAGAAAGTTAACAAAAGGAATTGTTCATCTGGTGTGAGATGTGTGGATTGTAACAAAGCCACCCCCCAGCCCTGTGATTGCCTATCTGCTGTAAGCCACCTCATCCCTCAGGGGCTGGCTCTCACTTGGAGTTTCACCAGAGCTGTTTTCTGCAGAAGGTTCTTCACCACTTCCACTTCCTGGAAAGAAAATATAATTAAGGTTAAAATAGATGTCGTATCATTGAGGCAGCAAGCTACAGGGTGCAATCACACCTAAAAACATTTTAGCAGCTATAAATGTTCAGGAAACTGTTTTTCTCAGTTGGCAATCCATTTTCAAAATGCTTTACAGTAATGGCTGATCACCTCATTGTAAATAATTACTGTCCTTTAAATAACTGCCATTGGAATGCATAACAGTTTATTCTCCACACATGCAAGACTTTATTTTTCTATTTTCTCCTGAAAAGTCCCTGCCAGGTAGGAAGTGTGGGCAACATTAATTTTTTGTCTGTCTGTAATATAAAAAGCACCAAGCAACCGCCTCCAACAGATCTTTTCTTTGTTATCTTTTACCTTCTGTGATTTCAGTCTTCAACCCAATTTCAGTGATGCAGTTGCCTCAAAAGGAATGTCTTCTATTTGAGATTTCCAAAAAGGTGTGACTACAGAGGATAATAGATGAATGCTAACCACAATGTTCCTGACTCACTTTTGAGTCAAGTCTGAACTCTGAACACTCTTACTTTGTTTAGGCTCCTGTTTGGCTACACATGGCATCCCAGAGCTCATGGAGATTGTTCCAGCTTTGCTACTGTTGAATTTTCTACAGATAAAGTCCAGTCTGGCTAACTTGGGCATGGAAAATATGTCTAAGAGGTGAAATTTAGGCACAGGAATTGGGCAGGCAAGATTTCACTGTGAGACACTAAAGGTATGTCTTTCTCCCCAGCTGCAAGGCTGCTTACAGAGGCACTTATTTTTGTAGGATTGGTTCTGTTTAGATACCTGGTGGAGAAGCAAGAGATGTTCACTGGATCCAGCTCCACCTGTTTGGGATGCAGTGAGAGGCCCCTTATAAAGGGACTCACTGTGTTAGGCACACAGTCCACCACACTATGTAAGGGGAATGTTAGCATTCAGACATCTGTCTGAATAGACATAAACATTCTGGACCTCCTGTTTTTAGCTGAATTTCTAACTGAATTTCAAGTTATTAACACATTCCCTGGAAAAAGCCATTCACAGCTCTTTTTTTCCACAATTGCCACTCTTGTTTCTCATTTTGATGTTTCCCATGGAAACCGTCATAATTCAAAATATAAAACATGTCTTTGAAATGCAACCATGAGAATTCCAAACCTCTTCAAGCACCACCACTTCCATAATTCCCCAAGCAAACTGCTCCCCAAAATGTCAACTTTACAAACTGGTCTCAAACAAAACTTCAGGAGATTATTAGTTCATCTGCAATGAAAGAGATTCCAAGTTCCCTCCATAGCTTGTAACGGTACTGCCAGCAAACATGATGAAGAATCATTGCATTTATTAAATGAATTTTAAAAATGACTTTCAAATACAACCACATACATTCCAGTTATGTGCCAGGGACAAATGATACATTCTGTCATTAAATATTGTGGTCTGATCACAAAATGAAACACTAGCTTTAACAATATTTTTTATTAAATGGGAAGAAATTACAGGTAATAGTTAAGATAAACAAAAGCTTCTAGACCCAGAAGTGAATAACCTAAAAGGTATCTCAGATTCTTAATGTGAGAGGTTTTATTCCAGAAGCTGAAATTTATGAATTTAGCTTAAACCACAGGAAGGAAGGAATACCCCGGTTTTCTGTTGGATGGAGATATTGAGCTTTGAGCCTTTAGTCATCCCTAATTTGACATTTCCAAGTCAAGACATTTCCCGTAGCAGTATAAAAAGGATCAAGAAAATTTTTTAAAATGCCAGTTTCAGTTATATTTTATGATCATTGGTTTTTTCAGTTCTTCTCCATTTTAATGAAATATATTGAGGATGTTTTTGCTTATAGATTCCAGATGGTATATGAAGCTGGAAAAAAATTGATTTCAGGGAAAAGATGAGATGAACAAAACAGGATTCAACACATCTGGCTGAGATTGCATCACACTAGATCCTGTGCACCTTTGTACTTAGATGTGAAAACAGGAATGTTTCGTTATTCGTGCTTCTCTCTGGCACACTTGTAAATTCCATCTACTTGGAATGAGATCACAAATTGCAACCAACAACAACAGTCCAAGAACTCTATCATAAACATTTATAATATTTGAAAGGCAGAAAGGAGTTAGATTTGATCTCAGGGTAGCTGACAGACAAATAGATCCCCCTCAGGAAAGAGTACAAGGTACAACATCCAAAAATGGTTTTCATCATTATTCTCTCAAATCTGGTGTTCATCATATGCCAGAGTCTCACAGGACAGCCTGACAGCACTCCAGGAACATATTCCTGTAGATTCCAGGATTCCTGCAGAACCTAATTTTTGGGAGCAATGCAGTGCAACTTGTACTGGTGGACTGACACTGCTTTGGCATGAATTTCAGCACAACATCCTCTCAAAAATAAATTGATGTTCAGCCATCACCATCTGAGTTTTATGCATTCTCCCTAACTGAACTGATGAACATTATGAATCTGTTTTCATAGGGACCTGGGTTCAGATTGTTATCAAGAGACTCGTAGGATGTGTCTCTATAAATTATCTTTATAGGCTAAGGGGTCTGAAGCAGAAAAGGGTTTGATGTGATATCTATTTAAATTGTATGAGAAAGTTTAGTATTCAAGACAGAGAACAGATTAAAAATGACTATCAAAGCAAAGTGTCAAGCCAACATTGCTGTGAGACAGAATTTAGCAGAAATCAGTTGTGTAACTGCATTGCCATGGTGCTGAGGCTTTAAGAGCCAGCTGGGTGTACTCAGTTCTGCTTGAAGATTAAAATGCACTTTTGACATGTACTTTTTAAACCTGCTCTTAACAATTCATACTCTATAAATTTCACACTTTATGGCATATTTTCAAAAATTTTACTCAACTTTGTGATCTCTACAAGTGCATTTTTCTCTCCCTCCTTGTATTTTTATGTTTAACATTCAAGTACTTGGCTTTGGCCATGGACAAGAGCAGGACATTGAGCTAGACAGATCATTGGACTAATCCCTACATGAATTTTGTATTCCTATGCCAGTTTGGATAGCTTTAAATCTTGTCTATGTAAATAAAAAAAAAAAAAAAAAAAAGCCCTGGTGGATATTTTCCCATCTTTTGGGGGAATTTCCATAGGTGCTAGGAATAGTCTCTGTCCGTGGTGCTCGGTCAGCAGTCGTTCTACCAGAGCTGTGACTTCAGCCCAGTCTGGCATTGCACAGCCACAGTGCTGTGAGACGAGGTCCAAAAAGATCTGGAAGTTTTTGCCAGGACTGTTTATACATCAGAATAAAGATGTGAAAATCAGCAATATTTCAATCAGCACAAAGCCACTGGAGATAAAATATCCTCTCTGAACTTGAAAGACATTGAAGGATACCAGGAAACAAATTAAAAGGCTGACAACAAAATCTTGATCCTGCTTTGGAAAAAACACCATGAGTAAAGATTGAGACTGTCTATGGAATGTGAGAACTGATGCTCTGTGTTTGCATCAGAAGCACCAGCTTGATGGTTCCGAGACATTTTAGTTTTGTGTCACCCAAACTTCAGCCTCAGCCCATTTGAGGTCTCGTGTCAGGCATAGATAGCCTCAGTAGCTTGGTGTCTTGGAAAGTACATTTTGTTCTCAAAAATTCAACAGCTGAATTCAGCCCTCAAAGCAGAGAGAGCCTGAACTGTGTTCACTGTGAAGATGAATCCTTAGGACATAAAAAACACATGAAAACTTGCAGGCCTCCAAGAACAATTCAAAACATCTCTGCCTGCCAAAAAGGGATGGTTTTGTTTGCTTTGCTTCAGGCTATCCATATTTATTTACAAGATACACAGATATGAAGGGGAGTATATTTACTAGAATAAATTCAGGACAGGCAGCAGATTGAAATCTAAGCAGAGCTGGTTTTACTGTCCTAAGAAGTAAGAAAAAAATGGAAAGGCTCTCATGGCTGCATTGAAATTTATGGCAAATATAAAAGGAGACATGCAAGGGGCCTAATCACCACAGCTATAAAAAAAGTCGAAGAAATTAACCCAGTAAGAAGTCAAAGCATGCAGGAATATAATAAGATATAATAATATAACAAGATATGAAGATATTATATATAATATAATAAGATATAAAGCCTCAGCTGCAACTTTACAGTGGATGGAAATGATTTGTGCTCCTCCTAAGCTATAGGAGTCTCAAAAGTCTCGTGTTAGGTGCTTCCAGCAGACAAAAGAGGCCTGTATACACAGCCTTCCAGTTTATCCAGAATCTATATTATGACTGTAAACAGATACATGACTCTAAACAGCAAGCTCTCTATATGGCTTCATCACATCTTCTATCATCATACCAAGAAGATTTCTCTAGCTAGTTAAACTCCAGGACAATTAAACTTTATTACACATTATCTGCTATAAAGTAAATTTGTTTAGCGTTACACTCTTAACCATGACCTGGGCATTGCAAGATGTTTAATTTGCAAAAAGTGCTTTTCCACAGTGACAAAACAACACTACAGTCAGACAAAAACATTTAGCAGAGAATTTAGGGTTTATTTAATGTCAGAAAACACTCTTCTCACCTGTGGATGCTTTCAGCCTTCTGATATAATCAGACCAAAAGGAACAGTCTGCTTTTTTCAGTCCTTTAAGATTCGGCAAAGAAACTGTGAATTCCTTGTAGTTATCGCCACCATCACTTGACAGATACATAGGCCAGGCAGGCTTCACCCCCAACATTCTTCTCGAGAAACTGTGGGGGTAGTTTGGATTTCTAAGGGAGAGGGAGACATTATCATTAGAAAATAATGACATGAACAGTAAAATGATAAGATTGGCTAGGTCAGGGAAATGTGTATCCAGTCCCTCTGACCAGCAGGGTTCAAATTCAGTCCAGATTGGTGAATCTGGAATTCACAGTGCCCCATCTGACAGTACCTTTTAGTCTTCCTAGGAAACACAGAACCTGCATAGACACAGGCTTATGAACACCTCAGCTGCCCTCAACACCATCCCAACCCAAGACACTGTAAAAAGCACATCAAGTCACTGTTCCTACTATTCCCACACTCATTTTCCAGAGATAACTCCTCATTCTAGAGCATGGCCACAGCACAGTAGCACAGAACGATGTTCACAGAGCGGCTGGTAAAGTGTGCACTGCATCTTCTTGTGCTTTCCCTTTTCTTATGGGAAAGAGAACTCTTAGCCAAGAGGTCTCAGAACTGGGGTCCTGGAACTAAGCTCTGGAGACATCACCAAGGCCTTTGAAGCCTGCATGTACTTTAGTAGAATTTGCAGCTGGTCAATGGAGATAAAATGTCTATTCCTCCAAGCTAAGCCTCATGCTGTAAACCTTTGATGGCTGCTCTGCTTGGTAACTTGGCCATGACTTTCCAACAGTGTGGTCCAAATCCAAGACTTACAAACTGTAGAGGAAATGGAGAGTGAATAAGTGAGGGCAGGGTCTGGACTGACTGCACTCCCTCTAATTCTCACCATCTCCCCAGTCACAGGAATTCATAAATATCCCACACTTACCCAGAGTTTATGAAATTGGAGATATACTGCATAATTTGCAAGGAAAGGCTCTTTTCTTCCTCAGTAAATTGTGCTTCATACTTTGGGTAAAAGGGTAGACCAAATGCATATTGAACATCCAGCAGGAACTCCTGACCTGAGCTAAACCAAATATTTATAGAAAGATAATTAAAATCATTATTTATTTATTTGTGGAAGAAAGGGAAATAAACTAATTCACAGAATAAAGCCAAGTAGTAAATAATTAATGACCATTAATTAGAGTGTGGTGAGCTGAGGGACATTTTCAATCCAAAACATAAAAGAACAAGCAATAACAAGAATTTTCCATTATCTTAGTGCAGGGTCTTTAACATTTGTTACAAAAGGAAACTGTGGAAGGTGTTAGGGCATATTTTCTAAATTAACTGGGTGTATAAGAGAGAGTGATAGAGGGAGAAAGTCACTTGGCTATTCCTTAAATGCCTCTTAAGTTTTGGACAGATTTTCACTAAAATTAAATTCAGAAAGTGGAAGTAAGTGATGACATGGATTCTGGCAGCCACAATGGAAGGTTAATTATGGCTTATTTCACAGACTTGGAAGAGAATTCTGGCCCTTCTTAGCAGTAACTGGAGTTTTTCCATTGACTTCATTGTGGCCAGGATTCTGGATAAGAAAAGATGTAACAGGAGATGTTTATAAAGATTTCTCTTAGACATAGTTTTAATCTAATTTTTTTGCTGGCTGGGTGGTTTTGCTTCATGCACTCTGTTCTCCCCAAGTTTTATATGGAAGACAAGTCAAAACAGCTTGAGATAATCCCCTAGATCAGATTTAAGTAAGAACAACTGCTGTGTAGTTCCATGTAGGAGTTATAACTTGTTATAAGGAATATTTCAACAGTTTAGAGACAAGACTGGCCAGGTGAGACTTGCAGGACATAATTGCAAAGGTTAAATACTTCAACATTGTCAAGTCCTGCAGAAAAACAGTGGCCAACTTCTACTAATAAAATTATAACTAAACTATGTTCTACACATAGCTTTGAACCACAGCTCAGGAGGAGATAATTTCTGGCCTGGTCCCATTGCATTTTCCATATCCCCACATTTGGACAAAGGTCTTACTGACTTGGTTTAATGCTGCATGAAAGCAGACAGCATCAGGGGAGCCAGGACAAGGAACAGATGTCTGTGAGGCAAGAATAAACAAATCCCAGATCCACTCAACAAGATTTCATCTGCAGTGGCATTTGTCAAAAGGTAGCACAACTGAAACTATTTTATCTTTGGCCGTGAAATGCAGCAGCACTGGTATGATCCTGATACAGCCTCCAATGGAACAAGGAGGGTTCCACCACCATTATGGGCAGGTGGTCTAAAAGCAAGATGACAGCTTAACATTTTATGAGTGGTGGCACCAAAGTCTCTATTTTGAAAAGCACATAGCCCTCTAAATGAAATACATCTTGGGTTGTGTTTTCCTTAGTCTTATCATAATACCTCAGTAATACTTTGCATCTGGAAAGTGAATTATTCACAGATTATTCACCAAAAAAATGTAGAACTGAAACAACATTAAAGCATATTTTTCTTCCCCAAATATTTATAGAAGGATTAAGCAAGATCATAGTTTAATAATTTTGCCTTAAAAATAATTTGCTTGGCCCAGTACATAACAGCAATTTCTAGTGTCAGTATTGCAGCAAAGGTACAATATACATAAAGAGGCAATTTTCTTGGCAAAGAGGAGTTACTTTTGATTAGATTAGAGGACATGAAATTAGCTGAGGTGCAATGAAGAGACAAATCTGCTCATTTAGGGACTGCACAGCAGAGGTGAACTTAGCTGTGAAGCTAAAACAACTAATCTGGGACTGAAGGTTTTCCCCTCAAATGAGATTTTGTTCTTAGCTTTTACATTTCTAGAGGTGAAAACTGTTAAGGTCACAGCCCAGACTAAAAATTCAGCAATCTCATAAATAGAGAATTTATTTGATTTCTATGACTGTACTTGGTTTGACACAGAGACACAAAGTGGTACAAAACTCTACAACTTCCCAGCTGCTTTCAATATTTCTGGTTGATGAGAAACCAAACATGAGGATGAGAAAAAACCCACTAAGCTTTAGAGGGAAAAGAGGCACATATATAAATGCACAGAAGAGCAGGAAAGACAACTGGGAAATACCTAGATGGCAGCAGGATGGAAAATATCAGGAGAATATTTCTGTCTTCTTCCTCAAACTCTGAATATAGAATGATAGAATCATGATCATAGAATCATAGAATTGTAGAATAACAGAATCCTAGAATGTTTTGGGTCAGAACAGACCAGAGGGATGTGAAAAATTCCCAGAAATACCCAAAGAGGGATTTTGGAGCCTTGTAGGAGCTCTGAGCACACTTAAGGTAACACCAGGAGGTGACACTGTCTTCACTGGAAGTGGAGTGAGAGAAAGAAAGGAGAGACAAATAAGTATTTATAGCTTTGCTGTTGTGCACTGCCAGCTCTGAAGAGAGGTTTTTATTTCCTGAGCTGCTCCAAACTGCACTCCCAGGACACCAAGCATGTGCTCAACAGCAGCAGCTCTAAGTGGGGAAGGCCCCACAACTGATGGACTTCAGAAGATAATTTGACAAAGGGGAGGACTTCAGAGACAAGGGAAAAAGGGTGTTTTAAGGAAACCAAATAGCAACTGACTTCCTCTACAGAAGTCCCTTTTCAAGGAACAGATCTGTTATTTTAAAGGCAGCAGTGAACGCAATTATGTGTAAGGATGAAATCTTGGCTTTGGTGACTTTACAGGAGTAGTACTTTGTGCAAAGGTTCTTCAGATCTTCTCTGTATAGTTTTGCTTTTTAAGATGTCAATATTTTTAAAAACAGTTTCACAGCTCTTTTTTTTTGGCAGACCAGTAAATGAAGCCATGGGGAAGATAGAAGCCAGATCCTACAACTTTGTTCACACTAAAATGAGCTCTCCATGGGGAATTCTTGCTTCACCTCAGAAGGAGGTGCTGCTGGAGTCCAGTTTACAGAAAAATAGATGGTAAAATCAAAAACCTTGTGACATTCTTAAGCAACAATTTAACAGATGATCTTGAAATATCATTTACTGGGAATTTTTATTATCCAGTGCCAAGACATTTAATTGGGAAGGTATAGGTTGTGAGAAAATTTTCCTCAAACCTAAGATGGATTTTCCATTTAAATTTCCAAGCAGGAAAGACAAAAAGAGATTACTCAGCCATCAGATACTCCAATTCTCTCCCTAAAGATCTGTGGCTACTTTCACACACAACAGGACAGTTTCAATAGGGAAGAGTAAAAGATGAATAGATCAGATTTTAGAACAAAACCACCCCAGTTATGGTTGGTTTGGTTTAAATTCTGGTTCCAAATCAAACAGAGCACAGATATAAGCTGCCATATCCAAGAGCTGAAGTTAACATTTTAATCACAAGCTTTTGGAAAAAGAAAAAAACAAACCAAATCAACACCTAACAAATAAAACCAGACAAAAAAACCCCAAACCAAACTGCCTCACCACCACCACCCCAGTCCAGAAATCCTCAAGCAAAATGGAATTGTCATTACTGGCAATCCATAATCAGGGCAGTCAGAACAGAATATGATCTGGCAGACTACCATGCTATGTTAGGACTGAATGCACAACTCAGAACTGGGCTGCAGGGACCTTGCAGTGCGATCCATTATAAATTAGGACATAGATCTCATTTGGAACCTTGTCCTTGTTCTAGGTCTGGCTAATTACTTCATACCAGAAACTCATTTTGATGATTAATGACTTACTCTAGCCTAATATTTCTCCTTTTCCTTTCATTTATAAATAGTCTTACTCTCCTTTCCAGCTAATATCAATTAATCTCAAAGCATTTTGAGTCACAGCTTCTATTCTTAGTTGCCTTAATGTAGTTTTTGGTTCTTTTTTAAACCTCCACACACAAAGACAGAAGCCAATGTAAATTTGCTCAAAAGTCTAATGATATCCTATATGATACCAAAACACCAAACTTCCCACTGCTATTCAATCATTTAAGTTTTAAAATAACAAGATAAACATAACTAGCTAGAGTTCAGCCATAATTATCAGTGATCATCTGAGAAATGAAGAAGAAATATTGTACTCAAACCCATGTCAGCCACCAAACAAAACAGATGTTGGCAATCTGTGATAGATTGGTGAGATAAGAAAACCATTTATCCTTTAATGTAAACTTCTGTGAGAATAACTGCTCATTCTAGCAATTCTGTGAAAGATTTTGTGTTAGAGAAGAGATCATGGCTTTGAGTTCCCAGCCTCACAATCAAGACCCTCTTCAGTATCCCATTGGCAAGGATGTGCCAATCACTGGGAAAGTAAAAGTCCCCACCTCTTCAGTGTCACTTGGCTTTGCTGAGAACAGGTTATTTACATGCTGAGTGAGTTGAACAGCACAGGTGAAACCCAGACTCACAGGCTGCTCATAAATCTCCTGCTGATTTGAGTTGAAATAGGACTTCATAACAACTCTGTCCCAGGAGAAGAGAATATGATTTGCACAAAATGTGCTACTGCCTGTGTGCTCTTCTGCCCCTATCCTGTGTTTATTTTCAGTAAATGGATTTAAAATTATTTTTGGTAAGAATTATTGCAAATATTAAATGTGCCTATTTGCATGCATCTGCATTTTCTTCACATTAATACCAGCAGATTTTTCCAGAGCATGTTTGCATATCCAGCATCCTGAACAGCCATTGTCTCATCCATGTCATGGGAGAGGAGCAGCCCTACCAGCCCTGCACTTTGCCTGAACTGAAATGTTCATTTGTATGCCAAGTAAAAATAATTTTAAAAATTATATACAGCCACACATTTTATGAAAGGAAATAGTATCTGATTGCAGGGAGAAAAAAAATAATCAAAGGATAGCTGGATATTTATAGAAATTCAGTGAGCCAATGCAAGGCCTGGTGTGACCTCTGCAGTTCTAGGGATGTATTTGGCTCATTGTGTCTCCTCTCATTATGAACTTCTGCCAAACAAATGGAGGAAAGGATGTGAAAAACAGATGAGCATTTTGCTTTCTTCTTTTCAGGAAAATCAGGACATATGGAAAAAGCTTAACTCCTAACAGGATTAAACTGCCAAGTTTA